GTGTGTGTGTTTGAACAAAAAAAATATATATAATGTCAAATGTTGTTTCCACAAGTACTTCTTCTTCCTCAAGACTGTAGTAGAACAGAGAGATGTAGAGAGATGTATGTAGGGCATTTTTGTTTTGTTTTGGTTTTTTCTTGTTGTTGTTGGAACAAATAATTATAAAAAAGAAGATTAACGATGGAAAACATTAGCGGCAGCAGTTCTTCTTCCATTACTTCCACCACACGTTCACTTCCCTTCCCTTCGATTTTAACTTCTTGGTCCTTTAAACACGATTTGGAATTGTTTCTATGGTATTTTCAGCCTCATCATCCTTTTCTTGGACACCAACAATAGCACCACCACCGCCGCCACCACCACGCTATAGAATTGTTATTAGTGAAAAAATAAATGAAAAAAATGATGAAAAAACATAATTTTTTTAACAAAATTAATTCAAAAAAAAATAATTTTTCAATACCGTACAAAACATTTCAGTTGAAGGGTTGTTGTTTTTTTTTCAAATAATCGAAGGATCCAAAATCATAAAGAAGTTGTTGTTGTTTTTGAAAAATCAAATCAAAACATATCCACCAAAAAGTTGAAACACACAACAATTAGGAGCAAGAGCGAGAGAGACAGAGACACGTACACATATACACAGTAGTTGGCAAAGTTGTTATATTTTTTTAGTTTCAAAATAATATTGAACATATTTAAACGTGGGTTTTTTGTTGAAAAAATTTCAATAACATAAGAAAGAAAAAAAGAAATTGAAAGAAAATAAAAAAGAAAAGAAAATATTTCATTATAAACTGTCTGTTTGTTTAACAAATATTAAATACATATAGATATACGATTTTTGTGGGTGGATGGATGCCTGTCTTTTTGGCAAAATTGTGAATGTACACACCATTTTCCGTAATGAGGGGAGAATGAAAAAAATAATTACATTGTGCAAATTTTTTTGGAACTTTTCGCAATATGTTTATGAAATGGCGCCCAACTAATGTTTAATAGTCGCCTTAAATAAAATCATGAAGGTGGCTACTCATATTTACAAACGGGATGTTGATTTATGTGCTATTAAAAATGGCGCCCAATATTTCCCATTATAAATAGAAAATAAAAAATATAACTAAATTGAGCAAAATGTTTCAGAATATCGTAGTTAGTCTTCTTTCGCTGTATTTTTATAAAATGGCGCCCAACTAATGTTTAATGGGTGTATGGGTAATGTTTTCCTTAAACAAAATCATGACAGATGGATACTCATATTTCCAAACTGGTATTTGATTTACGTGTTATTAAAAAATGGCGCCAAACATTTCCCATTATGAATAGAGAATGAAAAATATAACTACGTTTGCAAAATGTTTCAGTATGTGTACTTTTTCGGTGTATTTCTAATGAAATGACGCCCTGGGACATAATATATATTACCAAATGTTGCCCAAATGACTTCTTAAACCCATACCAAACCTATGAATCGTGGACATACATTAATTCAAAATGTTGTGTGTTTTTGATTTATCAAAAAATGGCGCCCAACATGGATTTATAAAAAAAGACCCTAAGCAATTCTCACCTGTTATCCGAACTGTTTGTTTAATTATAAATTTTGCATGAAATGGAGCCCAACCAATTTTTTTAGGCCTTAAAACTGTAAAATTTTACAAATAAACCTAAACTATGAAGCATTATCTTTCATGCAAAGTTCCGTCGATATAGCTTTCCCCTAAGAACACTGATATTATATTAGATTTATAGATTTATTTTTAACAAAATGGCGCCCAACCATTGTTTAATGGTCGCACAAAATGTGTGCCTAAACCATAAAAGAATTCAAACTGTGTGTGTTGATTGATGTATTATTAAGAATTGGCGCCCAACATAGGTTTCAAATGAATTTACATGAAATGGCGCCCAACCAAAATTTACGAAGCTTAAAAAACTGGAAAATTTTCACTTTCGTCCAAGAACCCTGATATTATATTAGATAAGATTTGTATTTACTAACAAAATGGCGCCCAACCAATGTTTACTGGTCGCCTAAACCAAGACCATGAATGTTGGATACTCATGAATCCAAAGTATTTTTCGATTGATTTATTATAAAAAATGGCGCCCAACCTATGTTTAATATGCACCCAAATGGGTTCCTGAATAATAAACACTTATGAATCCCAAATAGTTTCTGATTTATAGATTCTAAAAAAATGGCGCCCAACATTTCCAGTATGTGTGAATAACCAAAAAAAAACGTTCATTGTGCAAACATTTTCAGAATGGGTACTTTTTCGATGGCGCCCAACATGGATTTATAAAACAAGATCCCAAAACCAAACTGGTTGTTAAATTATGAATTTTGCATGAAATGGAGCCCAACCGTACGTCCCTGCTATGAAGCATTATCTTTCTTGCCCAAGAATACAGATATTATATTAGATTTATATCTTCTAACAAAATGGCGCCCAACCAATGTTTAATGGTCGTCCAAAATTTGTGCCTAAACCATAGAAGGGGGATTTTCACGAGTTCAAAATGTGCGTGTTTATTGATGTACTATTAAGAATTGGCGCCCAACATAGGTTTCCAATGAATTTACATGAAATGGCGCCCAACCAATATTTACGAAGCTTTAAAAAACTCCGAGATTTTTCAAATTATAAAATGAAGCATTATCTTTTATGTCCCCTCTACGGATATTACTCTGATAATATAATAGACAAGAGACTATTTCTGTTTGCAAAAAATTGGCGCCCAACCAATGTTAAATGGGAGCTCAAACAAATACCTAAACAAAGACCATTAATGGTGAAATCTCATGAATCCAAAGTATTTGACAATTGATTTATTATAAAAAATGGCGCCCAACACGGATTTCTAAAACAAGATCATGAACCATTGACAAGGGTTATCCAAACTGATTAATGAATTCTTAATTCACATGAAACGGAGCCTAACCTATGTTAACAAGACATTTTAAGTACTATAAGAATTTAACATATTATAAAATGGCGCCCAATATTAGATTCTGGATCCTGATATATAATATTTTTATTTTAAACCAAGGATCCTGATATATAAGATTTTTATTTTCTAAAAAAAATGGCGCCCAACCAATATTTATTGGCCGCCCAAATGAGTGCCTAAACCAAGATCATGAATGATGGATATTCACGCATCCAAAGTGTTTGGCAATTGATTTATTACAATTCACTGGCTCTGATATCAGGAAGACAAGTGCTGAGTCGGAATCTTCCGCAAAGACCGGGAATCCCAAAAGGACCAACCGGAAGTTGCGTAAGAGGAAGATGACAGCAACAAATGGTAAGAAGCCGCCGTCTTATGCCAAGGCTATGCAGTGATCGACGTGAATAGCGCGTCCGGTAAGCTAAAGAAGGAGACCAATAAGGAAGTGTTAAATGGGTCAACACCAAGATTATGGAGTACCTACGACAAGGAGGGGACTCTATTGACCTGGACAGCTGCGCTTTCAAAGGGGACTATCTAATGCTGGAATTTGAAACTCCAAAAAACATAGAAGCCCTGAGGAAGCTAGTGACCCATAAATGGAACAATGATACTCAAGCTGGCGAGGAAAAAAGACATTCCTCAACAACAAAAGGCTACAGTCAGAGGTTGGGGCTTTAGGTACGTTTATTGCCCTTAACATAGGCAATAAACCTACCTTTGTTAACAGAATTAGAGAGAAAGCAATATGTTCAGCAAACTTAATAGATGAGGTCCACGAATGGAGAGTCTCAGAAGAGTACACGTTTTTTTATCCCAAATCCTACGGCCACCGCCGAAACCCATATACTTCCGAAACAAGTCCAAAACTAAGTGGACTAGTCAAGGAGAGTTTAGGGCAACCAAATTATGATTGCTTAGACACGAATGACATAGACGCAACGTCAACAAATTAACGAAAGTAATTGTAAAGTCTTTCGAGGAAAGTTGTCCTCTTCGAGATATGCCTGGATGACAGGAGAGATTAGGAACAAAGGAGAAGAGGTCCGAAAGCTTTACTACAGAGCACGCCGAAAACAATCTACAGTATTCTGGGACAACTTCCGCGATAAACGGAAAGAATACAATAAATTGACAAGAACCGCCAAACGAAACTCCTGGAAGTTGTTCTGCGAACAGGTAGACAGCGTGAACGACGTTTCAAAAATCAAGGAGTTTCTAGTTGCTATCCAGTGAGAACACCAAATGAAAAGTGATCAAAAGTTATCATAAATTTTAGTTTTTTTTTAATGAAAAATATATGTTTTAATTTTATCGATGATTATTTGTCTAAATTGTATAATTTGATTGAAAACGAAAAAAGATATGGAGAAACCGTTAATTTTACTACATTTTACTTATTTAGTTGAAATATATTTGTCGATAACATTGAAAAAAGATATCCCGAATTTTACTACATTTTACTTATTTAGTTGTGAAATATAGACTGCATATGTAATGAACTTTATGAGTACAGGTGCAGATAGGAAGTAAGGTGCAAGGGGTGCTAACGCTGAAAGGCTAAGCTCGAAAAAAGGTCACAGAAAATGGTGTGTACCATCATAGAAGTGATGCAGCAATAAGCCTAATGGGTGTTTTTGGGGTACTAAAAAAGTGAACAAATAAAAAAAAATGAAATAAAAAAATATATATTTTTTTTTTCAATTTTATGAAATAGTATTTTGTGCTGACTATTTACAAATGGTTTTGGATACTTTGATTTATTTTTTTTTATTTTTGTGGTTAATTTGTTTATTTTTATATCATTTTTTGATTTAATGAAAATGCACACAAAAATTTTCTCTATATATTTTTGCGATTTTTTATATATATTGTATTTGTTTTCGTTTCTTTTTTTTTAATGTAAAATTTTAACTACAGTTTTTTTTATTTTGTTGTTAATCATAAAAACTATGAATTAAAAAAATGAAAAGAACATGAACAACATTTTCATGGATTTGTATGTTTTGGGTTTTCGTTTATTTATTTTTGTTTTTTTTTTTATTCTTCCTTTTTCTCAACTTCAACTTCAATTTGTTCCTCTTCTTCATCATCGGGACATGGTCGGCTAAGTATTTCTTGACATAGGGCAATATAGTCCTGTAAATACAATTGTTGGTGTCGGTATGGTAGGGAGGATGTTTGGGATGATGATGATGCCAGTATGTTTGGATGCCAAAATTAATGCATGATAGAATGGTTGATTGATGAATGTGCAATTGTTTGTGATGAGAGCGAGAGAGAGTGAGAGAGCATAAACACATACAAGTGTGCAGCAAAGAAAAAAAGGCGGTGAGAAAGAAAAATTAAATGATTAATTTTGTTGTAATTATAAATAATGAAATTAATTCAATACTTGGAGCCTTGTTATCATGTCACACACACAGCAATATTATAGGTGTGTTTGGCAATTCAATAATAGGTTTGATCGATAAAAAATACTCATTAAAATCTGCTAACTATTTTAAGGGAAAACGTGTCTGAGTCGATTTTTTTAAAACCTCCACCATTACTCATGGTACATTTTTGCTGGGAAAAGCCAATTCGGTGGAAAAACTTAACCTCCAATATCACCTCCTCAAAAGTGAACCGATGTAGATAATTCAAAATACTAAATTATAGCCAATTTGGTTGAAAAGTGGCCAAACTCCTCAAAATATCGAATATTGGGAGGTGCGGTTATATGAGGACTATCCTCAAAAGTGGACTTAAGTCGATAATTTTTGGTAGAGAGATTTGCTACATAATGAGAATTCAGAATGCTAAATTATAGACAATTCAGTTTAAAAACCTGAATATTGGGGAGTAACGTTATATGGGAGGTATCCTTAAAAGTGGACCTATGTCGATAATTTTTGGTGGGGATATTTGCTACCCTATGAGAACTCAAAGTAGCAAATTATAGCCAAGATTTGCTATGCAATGAGAACACCAAATATCAAATTAGAGCCAATTGGGTTAAAAAACTTATCTTAATTCCTCCAAATTCCCAATATTGGGAGGTACCGTTACATGGTGGCTATCATAAAAAGTGAACCGATATGGATAATTTTGGATAGGGATATTTGATATCCAATGAAAATTCAAAATACCAGCCTTTAGCCAATTTGGTAGAAAAACGTAACCAAGCACCATTTAATACCGAATAAATGGGAGTACCGTTATATGGAGGCTACCACAAATAGTGAACCGATGTGGATTATTTTTTGGTATGGAGATTTGTTATCCAATGAGAACCCCAAAAAGCATATTACAGCCAATTCAGTTAAAAAACTTATCAGTATCCTCAAAATTCCGAATATTGGGAGGTATCGTTATATGGGAGCTATCCTCAAAATTGGACCGATGTCGATAATTTTTCGTAGAATTTTTTTCTACATAATGAAAATTCAATATACTAAATTATAGCTAGTTTAATTGAAAAATCTTACCAAAATATCGAGGAGCTATCATAAAAAATGAACCCATGTCGATAATTTTTGGTACCGAGATTCGCTATGCAATGAGAACCCCAAATATAATGAGGGTTACCCCATATGGGAGCTATTCTCAAAAGAAAACCGATATGAATAATTTTGCTAGGGAGATTTGCTATCCAACAAGAACCAAATAATGAGTGGTAACACAAAATGGGAGCTATCGTCAAAAGTGAACCGATAACGATAATTTCTGGTAGGGAGATTTGCTATGCAATAAAAATTCAAAATACTAAATTCTAGCCAATTCGACTGAAAAATGTGCTCAAGCTCCCCAAAAATACTGATCTTTGGTGTGTAGTGTTATGTGTGGGTCTTCTCAAAAAACGTGGACTAATATAGAGAATTTTTAGTAGAGAGATTTAATACCATATCGCACCACCAAAAATAACAAATTACAACCAATTAAATTGGAACATGTACCCAAAATACCGAATATTAAGGGGTACCGTTATATCGGGGATTACCCTCAAACATAAGTCAATATTGTTAATTTTTTCGTAAGATTTTCTAGCCAACTTGAAAATGATTTACAGCTAATTCTGTTCAAAAACATGCCCGAATACCCCAAAATACCGAATAGGGTACCCACCAATTTTCGTTATTTTTTTGGGTTCTTGAGCGCGCTTTTCAACCGAATTCGCTGAAATTTGGTATAATGGGTTCTTATTGCGTGCCAAATTTTTTCACTAAAAATTATAAATATAGGTCAATTTTTTCCCATAGACCCCATTTAAGGGAACCCCCGAATTTTCAGTGTTTCGAGGGTTTTAATTGGTGGTTAGAATCGATTGTCATTATAGGTCCACTTTTTGTTATGTTTCCAATATTTTCATTTCAAGTATCTGTCAGTTATTCAAAGTTCGGCTCGGTCGAACTTAATGCTTTTTTCACTTGCTTGCTTTTGTTCATGATAACAATGACTCCATTTTAATTTTGATTTTTTTTAATATTTTGCCTTATAAACTAATATACTAACCAATACACACATACATATACATACATCCTTAGTTATTATAACATCGATATACACAAAGCAACACCACAGGACAATGGGTGATGAGATTTTACACTTCAGTGTGGACTTAATTAGATTAGATGATATTGATGTTACACTGCTTGCTGCCGCTTTTACAAATTATACAAATGGGGAGATTTTTTGTATTATATTTATATATGTATATAGGATTGTTGTTTTATGTTTGTAATTATGAAACCGTTAACCTTAAAAAAAAAAAATTTTTAAGGGAATTTCCTATGAATATTTCTCCTTATCAACAATTGGGTGTAAAGTGTCTGGGTTTATAAATGGAATAGGGATGGACCTCCTTGTTTAATTTAATTTTTTTTAACTGACATGCCGTGAGCTAGGAGAGCATACAACACTCTTCTTTAAATATTACATTTTAAGGTTAGGTTTAGAAAAAATTTAAATTGGGTTTTAACGAACTACCTTAAATATTTATTTTCTTCCAATATTTATTAAAAATAAACCAAAATTAAACAATCATTAAAGAAGAGTGTAGAAAATATTTTTTTGAAATGATTCTCTCTAAAATAAATATGATCTTCTCTAAAATATTAAGCTAAAGACTTTCAGATGCTACAACTTCGTTTCCATAAATGCAGAATAAAAAAATCCCACCATGCCTTCGGTAAATGTGAACCTAATATTTTTTATCATTTTTTTTTATTTTCAGTTTTTAAAATATCCCAACTTCATTCTACTTTAATATATTTTTTATATCCATATAAATTATCAATTATATATCTAAAAAATAAATAATTAGCACTACTTTTCTAAAAGGGGGAATGTGAAAAATGAATAAATAAAAATGAAATCTATGGAAGATGTGTTGTTTTTATTATTATTTTTTGTTTCTTAATTTGTTTCAAATTAAATATTTATATATAATTATTCGTAAATAAGCACATTACTCTATTAGGGGTTTTCGGTTTGTTTTCATTTCATATAATTAAATTAATTAAACATTTATTAAATCACTAAATTGTATGATTAATTTTATTATTATATATTTCTTTCCTTTTTTGAGGGGGTTTTCTTTTCTCTTTTTTTAATATTAATTTTAAATTATATATATTTTTTTAATTTTTATTATCATTATTTTGGGTTTTTTTTATACTAGAAAAATATTTGTTTTGTGTTAAAAACAAAAAGAAAACTGAAAAAAATATATACTAATGTTGACAAAAAAATATATATTGAAAAAAATATGATTTAAAAAATCTTAAATAATAAATGAACAATGATGATTTGTTGGATTTTCTGATTGATTTTTTGTTTATACAAAAATTTGGAATATTCATTTATTCATACAAAAGGGTTGTGTGTGTGTGTCTGTGTGCCTTAGAATGAGGGAACAGGAGATTATTTCAATAAATTTTAAGAAAAAAAATCTCTAAATAATGAAGCTAAAGCTTCAGTCGTTCTACAGACAAAAAATAATAGCTCAGCTTTTTATAGAAAAAAAAATTAGAAAAAAATGTGAGGTCTCTCATTTTTTTCTAATTTTTTTCCGAGATATTTCTCCAATAGAAAATAATTAGACATCAGTTTTGAGGACTGTTTTTTTCTATAGAAAATTTCATACCTCAGTTTTGAGTACATTTTTAATAGCAAGGAATTGTTTCTATAGAAAGACATTTTTTCTATAGAAAAATTTTTTTCTAGAAAAAATTAGACCTCAGTTTTTTCTATAGAAAAAAAACAAGATCTCAGTTTTTTATATAGAAAAAATCAGATTCTTCCATGGGAAAAAAATCACTTCGCAGTTCTGAGGAATTTTTTCTATAGAAAAAATATGTGACCTAGGTTCTGATGAATTTTTTCAATAGAAACAAATGTTCTGATTTTTTTCTATAGAAAAAAAATGTAACCTCTGTTCTGAGGTTTGCAGAAAAAACAGATCACAGTTTTCAGAAAAATTTCTATAGGAAAATATGTGACCTAAGTTCTGATAAATTTTGTCTATAGAAAAAATGTTTCGATGATTTTTTTTCTTATGGAAGAATTTGTGACCTCAGTTCTGAGGATTTTTTTCTATAGAAAAAAATGTGACCTCAGTTCTGAGGATTTTTTCGATGGAAAAAATCAGACATCAATTAGGAAAATTTGTTCTATAGAAAAAATCAGACATCAACTCTGAGAATATTTTTCTTGTATAGGAAAAAATCAGTTCTCAGATCTGCGAAAAATTTTATCTACAATCAGATCTCAGTTCTAAGGAACTGAGGACCGTTTTTTCTATAAAAAAAATCAGACACCCGCCCCTCAGTTTTGAGGACTTTGAGTGGACAAATGTTTCTATAGAAAAATAACGGACCTCAATTCTGAGGAATTGTAGAAACGACATCAACTTTAAGAACACTTTTCTTTAAATTAGAACCCAAAGATTTTTTTCTGCAGATTTTTTTTGCCGAAAAATTTTTGGTAATTTTTAAATTTCAAATTTCATTTCTCATTAGGCACACACACGCACCTGTATATGTGGTGGTTGTTTGTGTATGTTTTTTTTTTGTGATAAAATCAGCATCTTGGTAATAATTTTTTTTTTATAAAATTTGGTAAAATTACACACACAAATACACAGATTTACAAAGAAATACTAATCGCAAGCTTTAGTTATTGTATTGTGCGTTCGTTTTATTTTACAAAAATGAAAATTGATCAAATTACAACAAACAAGCAGAAGACGACATGAGATCGATCACCGACGTACCCAGGAGGAGGAGGATATTCCTTACACTTTTTGTTTTCTAAATTTTTGCACATTTTCAGATTAGAAAAAAAGTTTCGAAATGTTTTTTTGGTACGTAGATGATAAATCAATCGAATATACAGAAATTAAGGTGTACAATTTCTAAAACACAACACAGGAATACATTATTAGCTATTATTATTGGCTGTGATTGATGTGAAAATGATGTTTTGTTTTCATGGTTTATTTTTTTATTTATATTTTTTTGTTGCAGAGTTAGTTTACATTAACAACAACAGGTTGATACAAAATGCAAGTGATGATGTGCTGCAGTTGTCCCTTTTTCTTGGTTGGTTGGTTTGTTTCTGTTTTCAGTTTCTGAAGGTGCTGATGATGACAATGATGATGTGATTTGGCAAATGTTGTTGAATTCCTTGGCTTATGGTTTTGTAGTAATTGTAGTAGCTTGATGATAAAGTATACACAGAGTAGGACTCTCTCTATTGTTACATATGACAAATAAGGAATGGCAAACCAAATTCACATGGAAAATGCATACATATGAACTGAACACATAATGCACAGCACGGAGCGGCGTCGCAATGGCGGGGGTAAATGGAATTTTGTATATATATGCTACTGGTAAATAATAACAATGATTGAAAAAAGAAGGCCCAAAACAAAAACCAAATATTTGTGGCACTGTAAGTGTTGTATGTATGTTTGTGTGGTTTTTTTGGTTGGTGGTGATTTTATGTTTTCCTGATTCAAAAATGAAAATTCGTTGCTTGTATAAATGTTTTTTTTTCTTTTTTTGTTTATTAAGATCGTCTAGTTTTCATTAAATATTTTTTTTTTGTAATGAAAGTCAAATGATGGATGTTTGAGTTTCATTTTGTTTTGTTTGTTGGTTTGTGGTTAAAATAATAAATCATACAAATCTCCTCCTCATTTCGTTTAAAAAAATCAATATAACAAATTCTGCTGGGGGGTTTGAGATGTGGTAAAAATGGTTTTATATGATCGATCTTCTCCTATCTCAACTGTGGTGATGATTTTGTTGTTTTTCGCTTTTTCGTTTTTTTTTTCGGGGATAGGATAAAGGGGCGGGGCTCGTACTCTTTCAATACAAAAAATCCTCTTAATTTCAATTATTCTGTTTACATGTTGTTGTTTTGTTTTTGTTTAGTTCTCAATTAGAATTCCTTTTTTCTACTTTGTTTTTGTTCTTAAAGTTTTTGTGTGCTTTTTATTAATTTTTCTTTTTTTATTTAAATTTTTCCATAATTTTGTTGTTGTTTTTTATGTATAATTATATTTATTATAAATTTAGTTGTTGTTTTTTTATGTAAATGCAAAAAGAGTTTGATTTGAGTTGAACAATTTAATAAAAAAAAGAGTTTAAGAAAAAGAACGAGAGTGAGAGTAGTAGTAGTAAGTTTTGTTTTGGTGTGTGTGTTTTTTATGTTGTTGTTAAAAAAAAAACAAAACATTTAAAATTAAATAAACATAAGTGTGTTTTTTTTTGGGAGGAAAGGAAAAAAGGGAAACGATATATGAATTTTAATAAATTTGTTTTGTTACATTTAAAATAAATTTCATTTTAAATTTACCGCTCGTAGTGGCATTTTAAAGTTGGCTGCTGCCTGCAGCTGTATTTGATAAGCTAAGCTATGAATTTTGAAGCCATAAAGTCTGCGGAAAAAGAGAAGACATAAAAATATATATTTTATAAAATGGGCTTTTAAACAACATACCTTGGAACAAATTGATTAGTAGGCCTTTTAGGACGATATTCTGGATGTACCATAAATAACATGTGTGGAAAACCAGTACCAAAATATGCACCATCCGTATGATGGTGACGCGATGATTTTGGTGTATAAACATCAATACATTTGGGGCAATATACTTTAACCATTGCCTCGCCGGGAATATCCGATAAACCTTGGGGAAAACAAATATATATTAGTATAAAAAAATATTGAAAAAAAATTAAAAAAAAAAATCTTAAGGGGATCGACCACCCATTCTAGATTTCAAATTTCGATGAGTTTCAACAGCTGGCAAATTAACATAGTAAAAAATCAGACCTCAGTTCTGAGGACTATTTTTTTATAGAAAAAAATCAGGCCTCAGTTCTGAGGACTATTTTTTATAGAAAAAAATCAGGCCTCAGTTCTGAGGACTATTTTTTTTATAGAAAAAAATCAGACCTCAGTTTATCAGAGAGCTATTTTTTTCTATAGAAAAAAATCAGACCTCAGTTCTGAGGGCTTCTTAAGGGGACCGACCACCCATTCTAGATTTCAAATTTCGATGAGTTTCAGCAGTTTCAAATTAACATAGTAAAAAATCAGACCTCAGTTCTGAGGACTATTTTTTTTATAGAAACAAAATCAGGCCTCAGTTCTGAGGTCTATATTTTTTTATAGAAAAAAATCAGGCCTCAGTTCTGAGGGCTATTTTTTCTATATAAAAAAATATTACCCCAGTTCATCAGAGAGCTATTTTTTCTATAGAAAAAAAATCAGACCTCAGTTCTGAGGGCTTCTTAAGGGGACCGACCACCCATTCTAGATTTCAAATTTCGATGAGTTTCAGCCGGCTGACAAATTAACATAGTAAAAAATCAGACCTCAGTTCTGAGGACTATTTTTTTTTATAGAAAAAAAATCAGGCCTCAGTTCTGAGGTCTATATTTTTTTATAGAAAAAAATAAGGCCTCAGTTCTGAGGACTATTTTTTATAGAAAAAAATCAGACCTCAGTTTGCAATTTAATTGAATCGGCCTTTAATGGCTTCATATTGCATTTTTGGAATAAATAAATAAAATCAAACCTCAGTTCTGAGGGCTATTTTTCTATAGAAAGAAATCAGACCTCAGTTCTGAGGGGCTATTTTTTTCTATAGAAAAGTAAGAGACATCAGTTCTGAGGAACTTTTTGAACATACATCAATTTTAAGGACTTTTATTCTTTAGAAAAAAAATTAGATTCCAAACCCCATGAAAATCCCCAGACGCCACAGAAAACCAGTAAGGAAAGTAGTAAAGTCGGACTGGACCATTCACCACTTTGGATATATTTATATGCTGTGTCAATCGGCCTAGCTATGGGTCTTTAGTGCACTATTTACGTAAAATCGGAAGAAACTATATATGGGAGCTACATCTAAATCTGAACCGATTTTCACGAAACTTAACACACGTCAGTATGCTATGCAAAATTTCGTGCAAATCGAAAGATATATAGGGACTTTGATGCACCATTTCACTTAAATCGGAAGAAAATAAATGTGAACCTATTTTTCACAATTTCAATAGGGTTCGTCCTTGGGCCAAATAAATGAAATTTAATCCAAATCGAATGATAAATGTGACCTGTACTTTGTTTATAATTTAACATCATGATTCTATGCATATTCTCAAAAGGAATCACGTGTCCACCTCGTTTCCCTTTGCCTGTTACCACACTGAGGTGTGTGAATTCCCAATATTCACATTTTTGATGCGATCTTTTCTCAATAGGGGTATATTCCTTGGTTTTTAATTGAATTGCAAAAAATCCAAAATTTTTTGGAGAATGTCAAGTGTTGTATTTTAGTTTGACGTCGGCGGCGTTAATATTGACGCAAGTGATGACGACTGATATGATGACTCATCGCAGAATCGAGCTAATGCAGCATGAAGCAACGTTAAAAACTCTACGCCGAAGAAATTAACTGTGAGTATTTAATACAATCGCTAAACGATCCCTCTACTGCACTACAAATTGTCGAGGTTAAACGAATTGACCTCTATGCTAAAATTGGTGTCGTTTTTTTTCGGCTAGAAGAGGTTAGCTTTTAGTGTAATACGCCCACCGAACAATTTTGTATTATTTTTAAACATAAAGCCTTTCAATTTAAAATGTCGATAGTTTTTTCATTGGAGTTATGCTAATAAACGAAATTGCGATATTGCAAATGACAGACTTAGAGATCCTACACAGTCACTATTATACGACGACTCTCGCCTTTGGTTATGTGGCTCATATTAGACATATTGGGGTGATGTGGCATTGCTTTATAACAAAATAAATTCTTTTTTACATAAATATCGTAATTAGAAGTTACAAAATAAAAAAAAAAATATTTGAAACAACAAAAAAATGCAATTCCCACAAAACTTACCCAATGGCAACATAGGTTGACTTTCACAATACACACGTGGACAATGACCAAAGTCTCCTGTTTGATATTTTTCAATCATTTGTGCTATGCCACGATTTGTCAATATATAACGTGCATGTATCAAGCCATATAACATTTCAGCTGCCTGTTCGGTCATATCCGATTGCAATGGATTATCTTCGAGTTCATCTTCTATAATAAAATAAAACAAAATAATAAAAAAATAATGATAATTTATTTTCATATTTCTTTTTTAACATACCAGGTTCTAAATCAAGAATCATATCAAGAGCCTGTCTATAATTCGGTACTTGTTCATTTAAGCCAGTTAAATTGAATTTATCCTGTATATAGTCCTCATCAACCTGTAATATATTAAAAAAATAGATCATTAAAATATATTTGAAATAAATTAGAAATACAGATAGAGAATATAAGAAAAAATATATATATAAGAAATTTCTATAAGTCAGGAGCCTAATGTGAAAAATTCCATAGAAATAAAAGCGTATCACATACATAGAGAACATGTTCAAAATTACATTTACATGATTTACAAGAGTGTTTTGAGAATTGAGAGTTTGGAGGATCTAAAAACGGAAAATTTCCAAAATACGGAGAATATGTCCCAGATTTTTTAAATATAGATTTAGTCAATGTTCAACTTATTACATGTGTAATTACAAATCCATCAGAGGTCCATTAGAGAAAAAAATACAAAAGGTATAGTAAAAATCGTAAAAACGCTGGCGGACACCAGGCTATGACTAAGTATAATTCATATATGAAAATACCAATGAAATCTTACAGGACAAAGTAAAAAAAGTGCGATCTTCACAGTACATGACCTATAATTTATGATTACTTGAAAAGGAATAGTTCCCAACCTTTTAAAAGAGAAGTCGTACCCCGTTTGACTCCTAAATTAAATTAGACGACGATGACCTGGATACAATCGAGTCAATTAAAGGGGAATTGTTCGTCGATGAACAATTGTTCTTAGTAGGTTAGAACTTTTCTTACAGCATCTCCAGAAGCGTCTAAAATTGATTTTAAATTTTACTCCTGAGACAGAATACAAATTATGATGTAGCAGGCAAAGCCGTTAAGTATAGTATGCTATGAAGATGCATGTACAGAATTTAAGAAATCACTATTATCAGAGGGATGATATTTGGTAGAATTTTCGACATAGATCGCATAGACAAAACATATTCGGAATCATTGCTGCTGTCTTTATAACCCAAAACAAAGGAAGAATTCACTTTCATTGATCTGACAGCCAATAACATTTTCAAATTATTAGCTATAAGTGTAGACGATTTTCCGATCAGCGTGTAGAGGCACCAATCTTGTACTAAAGCAATGCTGAAAATCAAATTTGTGTATTCTGCCCTTTACGCGTGGCGGAAAAAGTCTATATAGACAAACTGAAGGGATGGAGTTTTTATAGACGTGCCGTAGGGGATTTATAGGACAATTTATAAAAGAGAGGAGCGAGAAAACCGTTCATCAAATCATCACATGTGATCCACCATCGTAGATCATTTTAGCAATCATAAGTTTTTTTCTGCGAAGGTCGCACATAATGTCGGGATCCAGTATCAATATATGTTTCTCCGGTGTGTGCTGCTATTATTTTGACCGTAACGGTATTAATTTCTATGAAGTCACGATGCAGCTACCTTTAGTATTTTGTTACCTGTATATTTTTCAGGATTTTACAGTTTGCAATTATTGATTATTATTAATTCCCAGATTAGGATTTTTGTTTATAATTCGTAGAGTTTTCCGGGGTTTTCAGATTGTTTTCTCATGTGAGCATTTACCATGCATATTTATTTAGCGCATATGGTTGATACAAACATGGAACAAATATTTTATATATGTATATTTTTCCAGATAGGAGTAAAGGAATTTCACAAAATAGATGTGAATGCTAATGGATTTTGTACAGCAAATTCAAAACTGTACGGCATATGTTACCGCTTGAAAATGTTCCTCACAAGAAAGGTTCATCTGTATTTTCCCTCATTTTTTAAACACAAAATTTCATTCGTTAAATGTCATAAAACATTATTGTGTGGACGGACGGACAGATATTTAATCCCCGTTCGAAATGAAAACAAAATGAAGAAAACGAAAAAAAACATTCAGTCACATGAAAGCAACACGAAATTATAAATAACAACACACTATGAACAATCCCGAAAACAGACTACAAACAACAAATCCAATAATCTCAGTAATAAGGTGTGTCAGTCAGCCCGCAGGCAGGTCATAATCATTGTCAGTTAGTGTAGTCTTCTTCTAAAGCTGATGATAGTGCTGAAATGCATGACGTCGATGACACGGACGGCAAAGTAAATCACATTTGCACCTTCTTCTTCCGGGTTATGGGTCGCCGCCACCACATAAAGAAGAAGATCCACTATTTTCCGAAACATAAAATAAATGTAAATCAACAATATGATGATTAGATAACAAAATGCAATTCATCATCATCATATGTATATTTACTTTAAATGGCCATCCATCCATTCATTCAATCATCCAAACTAAATCACAACACAGTGATTTTTTTGAAATGCAGGCAGGCTGGCACTGGCACATACTAAAATATCTAAATATGTTACACACAAACAAACATACAACTGCTGCTGCTACTTACCTCACAAAAAAATTCATTACCGCGTAGACCACAAAACCAAGTAACCCAAGACACTTCTTCAGAGCTGCTCATTTTTCTGAAAAAAAAAACGAAAAAGAAATTTATTTGTTAGTACGTACGTATACGAGTAATTTTGTGTGAAATATCAAATTGAAATTCCTCGAAATGTGCTACTAAATACCAAAATAATGTTTATGTGGCCAGCCGCCACACACTTTGTTGTTTTTTTTTCGTTTCCTTGGCAAGTTAAAAAGCAAATGAAATTTCCTTCAATTTCAGTTAATGGCCAAAGAAAAGAAAATTGCCGTCTATTGGCAGAGAACGTAGCCCAAAAGAAGTTAGACACAGGACGGCGTTAAGACGCCGTTCATTAGCACACAAACTACTTTGATGTTATTACAAATTGTTGTACATTTGTTGTACACAAAACTAATGCATATTTTCCTTTCTTAATTTTTATTTTTTACTACAACGTTTCTATTTTTTTTTAATTATTTAGTTCACAATTAAATACTAATGGCAAGCCACACAAGCATTACTATTTGCCGCCACTAGCACTAGCAAGCCAAAAAAAGTCACGCCCGCGCCGTTAACATTACAATGTTGACTTTGATTTTTATTTTTTTTTTTTGGTGAAACACACACAAACTCACATTTGCTTTTATATTTTTAGAAAATATTAACTTTTCACTAAATTAAAACAATTAAATAAAAATATATATGTTTTTCACTTGTCTCTGCAACAAATACTATACTTGTTTGTTTTATTTTTTTAAACAATTTTATATTTTCTTAAAAAAATATCTTTTCAACACTCATCACTTTCTTCTTCTTTTTTAGTAGGAGCCGAAAAAAGGGAAATTTCTTTTCTTTTATTGTATTTTATGTCCGCACCGCCGCCGTTTTCTTTAGTATTATTCCACCGACCAAAAAAAATTGTCAAAAAAAGTTATAATTCATTATTCTTTTATGGAGCTGTCGTTTATTAGCATTTACACTTTGTTGCATCATTCCTGCTGGTTGCAATCAATTGTCATCGTCGTCTGTCTATATGTTTGTACTTTTTACTCATATTATATTCATATTGTTTGGTCGCATGTGCGGATATTTTTCGGTGTAGCGGTATCCCTTTCTTCTTCTTCTTCGTTTTTTTTTTCTTTCTATTTTCTTTTTTGTCTTGTCTTCATCATTCATCACTGTTTGAAAACTTTTTCTACCAATAAAAATTCACAGTTTTTGAAGCTGCACTTTTTTTGCATTTATTCACAAACTTTGATTTCTTTTTATGAACTGACGCGCCTCGAATAGATTTATTTTTTGTTAATTTCACATTTAATTGCACTAAAACGTTTACCAATCCGGTAAAACTTACCTTTATCAAACCACACGACCACGTTTAGAAGCGATCAATAGAGTTGTGTCGTTCCGGAACGAACTAGTTCATAGTAATGACTCTGTGAAGTGAACGATTGGAACTGTTATCAAATCACACAATTTATCTAGTTCCCATAGTTCATTTCACTGAGTCGAATTCATTTCGTTGTTGTATACATATGTTTGAGGTTTTTTTCTTTTAAAAACAATATTTAATTGTATAAATTATTAATTATAATATAATTTAAACGAATATTACTACAATAAATGGCTAGATGCTGGCAAAGATAACTAAATCGACTTTTCTAATACAAGAAAGATTAAACATATAAATATTAAAGACGAGTACATACTATCAGTTTGGATTGTCAGATTTTGTGTTGATTACTAATAGCGCGTTTAGATTAACGAAATCCACTCGATCTCAAATGTCAATTCCATAGTGTATATGTCGAATATAATTCTCTGGATTTGTGAACATGATTAATATGACGAATACGCTATGGAAATGACATTTGAAATAGTGTGAATTTAGTAGTCTACACGTGTTCTAACTGCCTAATGCTGCGATTATGTTTACGAAATTCACTCGATCTCAAATGTCAATTCGATAGCTTATATGTCAAATAACCATCAAAAGCTCAAAATTTGGGCCAAACTAACATTTTTAACCGCTTTATGTACAGTGCAAGTCATAGTAAAATTTATAGTGAATTTTATATGAAGTTGGAATTCATGTGTACCATGGTATTATACATGGTACAATTATACAAGGTTACTGCAACACTCAGCTGATTTGATTGTATCGTAATAGTCGTGTCAAGTTCGATATGACATTTATGATTTATGTAAAACGACCCAGCAGGAAAATTTTGAACTCATTATATGTGAAATAAAAAATACGATAATACAATTTGAGCTTTACAATACAGAGGGAACCAGAAAAAAAAAACAAAATAATTTTGTGAAATATTTGACATTTATTTTTTATATATTCCCAAATCTGCAGACGATGGAAAAATATAGTATCTGCGTTTAATTTTTTTCTGAACAGGGGTTCCAACCATGAATCGGCATGAGAATTCCAATTATATTAATTTAAAGAGTATTAATCGCGCGTAAACTATTATACATTATCAAATCAAAGAAATTGCAACAGAAGTTCGTTGCCCTCTGGTTCACAATTTATTTAAATTTCCTAATGGGAAAATGTGAAGCAGCAAATCCCTTTGTCCCCTTTTCCACAGGCAAATTTTTATTTGGCAAATTCTGAGTTTGTGGGCGAGAGGGGTGCGAGGAAGAAAAGCAAAACTTTGCCTGTTTAGAATTTGCGGTACACGCAAATTCTGCTTTGCTCTGTTCGTTGAAAACAATTTTGTTGACATTTCCTTTTTAATGTATTCGTTTTACTGACACACAGCCGGCTTTTGTTTACTAACCTGTTGGCAAAGAAAAATTTGCTAGTTGAAAAGCAAGCGGAAATCTCAAAAGAGAAAACCAAAAATTTGCTAAATAACAATTTGCCTGTGGAAAAGGGGATTTTGCAATGAAAAATTACCATTTTCAATGCTATTTTTAGCATTTTTGTATGAGTTACCTCTACATATGGCAATGACTCAATTGGAGGAATGATCTGGAATCTATAGAATTATAAATTTGCAAGATTTTCATTCATGTTTTTCAAATTTATTCTGAAATTAAAAAAATTAAATTTTGAAAATAAATAAAAATTTATTGATATTTTGTATTTTTGTTTACATTTTTCGACTATGTAGGCGGTGGCTTCTTCTGTCAAATATAAAATACATATACACAACAAGTGATTGTCTTTATTTCACATTTTTTCAACACATAACTAAAAACGCGAAAATGAATGAAAGGTTATGATTTCTTGTAGGTAGTGGCTTCTTCTGTCAAATATAAAAAAAAAAAAAACAAAAAAAAAGTTTTTTTATATGAATTTTCTTCAACATATATCAAAAAACTCGAAAGATGGTTATGATTTCTTCCCAAAATCCAGAAGGGAATACTATGAAATGTTTGTTCATCCATAACAATGTAATTACTTCCAAATAACGCGGTAAAAAAATCATTATTATTTACATTAAATTTGAATATTTTTGATATGGTTTTCAAAACAGTGGTTTTAAAATGTCAATTCCATTGTATAAATGTCAAATAAAGTAGGCTAACCCGTTTAAATTCCATTGTATAAATGTCAAATAAAGTAGGCTAACCCGTTAAAAAGTTTTAATGTGAATGCCGTTTAAATCCAACATAAAATCGGTGGGAACACTTTTCTGCTTTTAATTAACACTTCGTAGTGAATACCTCTCCCATCTTCTTTTGTGTGACATTCTATTTTGATTTAGTTTTGATCTGAAGCACGTTGTGTGGAATATTTTCGATTGTAATTTCAAAAACCAAAGGAATTTTGGAAATAATTTAATCAATTTCAAACAAATCGCTTCTATAAAATGGGTGAAGATGAAGGAACTACCAAAAAGAAAGCGACTAAACGTTATTTTCAGGAAGTCGTTGATGAATCTGAAGTGAAAAAGATCAAACACAAACCGAAAATAAAACAGGAATTCAAAGGCGAAATAATCAAGGTAGAACAAAATGTTCAGAAACCATTGAAGCCACATTTGAAGCGGAAGAAGGGCCAACAGAAGTATGAGGACAAGAGACCAAATATACCCAAACATATTCTGGAGAAATATAATCGAGGCGAAAATGTCGAGGAGGCTGGTATTAAGACGAAGTACTTCAAGGAAAAACAACAACGTAAGGAGGTGTATTTGGAATATGCCACGGAACAGGCAGCAAGAACCGAATTGTTGCTGACCGAACAACAGGGTTTCATTGAAGCTGATGAGGGTGAAGTAACGGCCGAATATCGCCAGGAAGAAATTGCCGAAAATGTGGACATACAATCAGCCTCCAAACTATTTAAATTAAATTTAGATTTCGGTCCATACAGCATGCGATATTCCAAGAATGGAAGACATTTGTTGTTGGGTGGTCGAAAAGGCCATGTCACCTCCTTTGACTGGGTCACCAAGAAAATGCATTGTGAAATGAATGTTATGGAAGAGGTGGCGGATGTCAGCTTCCTACATGTCCACACCATGTTTGCTTGTGCCCAAAAAGATCACGTGTATATTTATGATAATCAGGGTACGGAGTTGCATTGTATTAAACGAATGTATCGGGTGAATCGTATGGAATTCCTGCCATATCATTTCCTACTGGCGACAGGCAATAAGGATGGTTATTTATCTTGGCTGGATGTGTCCATTGGTGAATTGGTGGGGAATTATGGCACAAAATTGGGTGAAATACGTATAATGCGGCAAAATCCTAGCAATGGAGTCCTGTGTGTTGGTGGTGGTAAGGGTGTGGTGTCCATGTGGTCACCAAAGGTCAGAGAACCCTTGGCCAAGTTGCTTTGTCATCCAACACCAATGTCAGCCTTGACGGTGGATCATAAAGGACAACATTTAATAACTGCCGGTTTGGATCGCAAAGTAAAGGTGTGGGATATACGTGCCCTGAGTGGTCCCCTGGCGGAATATCAATTACGTTTACCCGCCAATCAAGTTGAAGTCTCACAAAAAGGTGTCTTGTCCATATGTCAGGGCAACTATGTTGAATTATATCACAATCTGATAATGGGTGAGACGGCCAGTCGCCCTTATTTACGCAAACATTGTGGTTCCTTCGTCCATGGCCTACGCTTCTGTCCATATGAAGATATTTTGGGTGTTTCAACGGCAAATGGTTTTCAATCGTTGCTTGTTCCCGGTTCTGGAGAACCTAATTATGATGCCCTGGAAGATAATCCCATGCAGACTAAATCGCAACGTCGTGAACATGAAGTCCACTCACTGTTGGAGAAAATACCCGCCGAACTTATTACATTGGATCCTAATGAAATTGCCACAGTTGATGAGCCAACGCTGCAAGAGAAGATTGATGCCAAACGGTCGATATTCTTCTTGAAACCGCCAGAGATACAAATGAATTCGAGGCGTAAAATGAAAGGCAAAGGTGGTAGTGCAAATGCGGCACGCAACAAACAGATTGTTAAGGATCAAAAGAGAAAGGTATTATTATTGCTCAACATGATTGGGAATTAAATATTAACCTCATTTTTGTTTTGCCAATTTTAGGAATTCATTGCTGATGTACGTGAGGCGAAAAAGAAAATCATTGCTGCACACAAAGTGGAAGAGGGCGGTGATGATTTCATACCCTTGGAAGATACAAAACCCAGTGTATTGGATCGTTTTAAACCCAAACCCCTTAAAAGAAAAACATAATTTGTTGTTTTGTTTAGGTTAAGGTCTATTTTTAAAACAAAAAAGAAGAGAGAATAGAAAAATGTAAAATAGAAATATTAAGCTATGGTTAATATATATTTACAATATCCAGATATGCGTTTATCTGTTATACTTGATTCAGCTGTATCGATTATTTTTGTCAGCTCCAATTCGTTGACACTCTGTTGGGGATTTGTCCAGTAGAACAAATTCATAATGTGTTTCTTGCCTTCAAGGACATTCGGTGCACCAGTCACTTGTATATTTTGTAAATGCTCTATAACTTTTGATAGGATATTCCGGAGGGCATCAATGAATACATGATTTTGTTGTTTGCCCAATTTACTCATTGCCAAGAGGCAGGCCACATTCACAGATGGCCTCAGTAGTAGATTGGGTAAGAATTTAAGAAATTCCGTAAATTCCTCAGCACCATAGACCTTACACAGATCATGACTTTGTACGATTTCACAAAGTATAATTAAAATTTTCGAGGAAATTTCACCAAAACGATTTTCCAAAAATGCCTTGATGCAACTTCGTAGCAATTTTGTGGTGGATTCTTTGTGCAAATCACACAAACGTTGACCAGATTGTAAAAGTAAAGCGCGCAATGCTTTCACCAAGGATGGCAAATAATCCTGGGAACCCTTGTGACCCAAAGAGCTGTCAATTATGGTGCTTAGATAGTTGAGGACGGCATTAAATCTTGATGACTCCTGATCCAAGGCATTGGCATAAAAGCGGCACATCAAAAAACCAATTGTTATATTTTGTTGCAGACAATATGGTGACAAGGTGTTGGGGGATTTTTTGGTCTTCTTTTTGGAGTGGCCGGAATCTGAAAAACGAAAGCAAAAGAACATTTTAAAATAAAAAAAATTCTCTCATTTATTTTATAACCTCACCTTCATCTGCATTAAACTGTTGATAAGGATAGGAACTTTGCAAGAAATTTGCCGCAAAAACATCCGCATATTGATCCTTAAACCACAAACTCAAATCATGATTGTTCACCTGCTCTTCATAGATCTCAATGAGCGACCATAGATTTTCAATAATTTCCAAAACGATTTTCAAAGTTAAACTGGCATCCAGCGTCAATAGGGTCTCCACACTGCATGATGTTGTTGTCTGTTGTGGTCGTACCTCTAACCATGATTCCAATAGCAGTGGCATCAAGTGATCTACATATGAACGCAGTTGTTCATATTCATCCACAGCTGTGTCATCATTGGCCGTTGCAGAGCTACCCACAGAACGATTGAATATATTGGATAAATCACAATGCTGATTGGCTGCATATTGACGTTTAACACCATAATGTTGTGGGGTCTTAATGCTGTGCGTAATCAATCCTTCACTGGTATTACTACCGCTTAAGATGGCTTCTTGCCTCTGTTCTTGTTTATATTCGGCCAATGTTTCCAACATTTGTTGCAAACGCAACAGCACCTTGGAACGCCATTTTATGGTTGTCTGTTTTTGTCCCATATTTACGGTCAACATCCGTCCAGCCTTATCGCCCTCGGCACGTACTCGTGATATCATTTCCAAAAAATTATGCAAAATCTTGGCACTATGGCTAGCCACCAATGTGGGTATATGTTGCAATAGAACATCCAACAGTAGTAGAGAATCTTCTTGGATATTCGGTTGGATGTGGGTCATTGCACAACGTAAATACGATGAAATAATGTGAAAGAATGGTGCCACCGCATCTAGGGGAAGAAAAGCGAGTAGGGCACCAAATGTTTTATATGACTCCCTGCGGGCATCACGTTCTTGATCCAAGCACACAGCTGATATACCCTGGATCAGTTCACTCAAACAGCCCATAATTCCCGGATGATTTATGGCAATAGCATCGCGTAGATTTTTCAATGCCTCACTACGAAAATTCGAACTGTGATGTTTCAATTTGGACAGGCATTCCTTAAGATTGACTTGTTTGATGCCATCCACAAATTGGGCTTCCTTCAATTGTTCGCGTATGGTAATTTTTCGTACTTTGAATTCAGTTTTGGTTACATTTAAACCTTTCGGCAGTTTGGCACCTTTAAGTTTAACTTTTGCTTTTTCAGCTCTCAGCTTCTTTTTGTGTGTACCGCCCATTGTTTTTAATTAATTAAAATTAATTTAATTTAAAATTATTTTTTTAAGTTTGCTGGTTGTCCAGAGCTATCAGTAGGGAAACAAATTGTAAACAAATGCACGTGTACGGATCAGCTGTTAACGAACGGTTATCGATTATTAAAGAAAATATATAACACCAGGCAACATGACAAATTCAAGTCGTTGAATAAAAAAATATAAATTGTGTGACAGGAGGGCTTTATCCTCAGAAAAAAAAAATAGAATTATAGACCTTTGATTCGAAAATAAACTTGGGCACGTGCCCTAATTATTACATAATATACCAGCTGATTATAATGTTTTCCCAAGATGGCTTGTGCTATCAAATAAAAATACATATTTTGGGTATAGTTTTGAATACCATGTCAAATAAATTGAAATATATTCAAACATAATTGAATTTACCGCGTTGTCTAGAAGTAATGGTAATGCATGAAACAAACATTCCATGGCATTGTCTATTGGATTTTGGGAGGAAATCATAATCTTTAATTCATTTGTTTGCGTTTATAGTTATGACCGATTGGCTTTATCCTAGTTCTTACGATAGCTATACACTCACAGAGAAACGTGTAAAAATTTGGAATCGATTGGGTTATTAGTTTTTGAGTTATCGTGCCCGCCATTCGCAAAAGAGAAAAACGCGTTTAAAGTTTGAGAAGCTCTTTAGCCGTCACTTGATGCTGACACAATAAATCGGCTATATTTTCAAGAGTTTTTGAGATTTTTACTTGAAATTTGTAGGGACATTCTTGAATTAGTGTAGATTCGAATTAAATCAAAACAAATTTCGAAAGTCCATATTTTTGACACTAAACAGAGAGAAAACAACTGTTTGACCTTTTTAATGGTATTTTACACAATATGTATTTTACATATGTGCTGTCACTTTTTTCATTCATTTGTAATTCCTTATGTGTGTGAAAATTAGCAGCGTACACAAGACTGTTAGTTTTTGCGTTCAAACCTGTATTTTTGATATGACATAACCTATAAACAAAACACATTCCTTTCTTTTAAATCGACATATTATTTGATAAAATTAATGATTTAATCAAGTTTCTGGAGAAAATAGAATTTAACCTGTAAAACCTTTCAATGTTCATGGCGATATAGCGGCCAAATAACCTTCGGAGTATACTCAACAACATTCCAAGGACAACTTTAAAATCAAAAAAAAATCGACATAATTTTTGCCTTATCATTCTTTTTTTATTCAATTCAAATATTTTCTTCCAACAGCTGATTTCCTTGTGTTTCAAATACGAAAATAGAGCGCATCCTTTTCGAAAAAATACATTTTTAATTACATATCGTTTTGGCACATTGAAATTTCCGTATGTTTCACATAAAGTGACAGCACATATATAAAATACATATAGTATAAAGGCACCTTTAGCTTTACTACATGAGCATTTCGGTACCCTTTGTTGTAAACAAAAATCAGCTGTTGTGAGAGCATATGCCTCTCTTGGGGAGCCAAAAAATAACACAGTATAAAATATATTATTTAAATATCTTTAGTATATAAAATACAAAATAATTAAACCAAAACATAAACAAAGACATGTTACGAAATCAACATACAACCTGTAAATATATTTCCAAAACAATAAACCATCAACGGCGATGTTTACAACTACAGACTGGAGCACTGCAGAGCAAAAGTACCAGCAATGTATTCAAGCAGGGGAAAATAATGTCCAAACTGTTTGGTAATCGTGTGCAGGGCAGCAAGAAACGATGGATTCCTATTGCGGATAATACGGGTGCCACAAATGTGGTTTTTAAACAATCCCCATTTGGGGGAAAGAAAACAAATACGGGCAATGGAAAAAACGATTCCCGCCGCATGACAGTTTTAAATAAACTGTTTATGAAACACATTACCGATCTCTTGGCCACCGGGGAGATTTCGGAGAAAATCTTAGGAAAAGGTTTGCAAGTATCACGGGTGAAAATATCCCAGGACTTTGCATATGTCAATGTTTATTGGATAACAACGGGTGATGTGGCAAAGGACACTCTACTGGAACAAGAACTTCAACGTTGTGCTGGGCTGCTAAGGCATGAATTATCACAGCTGGACCTAATGGGTGTTGTACCACGCATTAAATTTGTTAAAGATAAAATTATGTCAAATATTGTGCAAGTCGAATCTTTATTGAGAAATATGGATTTCGGGCCAGAGGATGAGGAGCAGCCTGAGGAGTTGGAAGATTATCTGAAAAATGCCACAGATGTTGTTAAAAATGAATTTTATGGTAATAAAGTCTTGGCAAGCAATACACCGAAAATCATTGAAAAGCAAGAGGCGGAGTCGAGCGAAAACCCCCCGCCAGCCACCTCATTAAGTGCAAAACTACCAGAAATGCGTCATGATGTTTTGGGTTTGGATCATAAAGGTATTATGTTGAAAATACTTACAAAAATGCGTAAGTCCAAACAGGCCTGGGAACAACATCAAGCGGCCAGTAGTAGTAATAGTAGTATTCCTGCAAGTGAGGTAGACGTAGTCACCACATCATCACTGCCAACTGAAAGCCAACTTACCAGAATACAAAATAAACTAGCCAAAGCAGCCGAAAGTGCTGAAAAATTCGAAGCATTTCTGGCCAAAAGACGAGAGCGAAAAAATACTCCAGAACGGAAAAAATATCGCATTTCGGATCATATGCTAGATGCTAATGCTGAGGATTACAAGGAATATGAGTTTATGTCCAATCGCCAACGGCAACTATACGAAGCTGAAGATTATCTATATGAAGATGTTGAAGATAAGAAAAAATAGACAATTTTTGTTTTTTTTTTAGGTTATTCATAAGTGTTGTTAAAATTAAAATTTACAATAAATTATCCTATAAATAACAATTTGAAATTGTTATGAAATTAAAAATGTTAATACAAATGTGTTATTTTATTGTTTGCTTAAAACCTCCTTAAACCGGGGGAGGGGAAAGTGTAGAACTTTGGCGACAAAGGAACAAAGTTGAGTACCACATAGAAATGATCGTAAATGACGTTAGTTTTCGAAAATATTTTTATGTTAGTCTTGAACAGAATATGCCACAAACTCTTCGCGTGGTTTTATAAGGCAGCTAAAATTTGTTAGTTCTTTTAATATTTTAAAATTCCCTGTAAATAATTTTACATATCGATATTAAGACTTTGGGTAGATAGTAAGATTTTTGTTACGATTTTTGATAGATCTTAGATCTGCGGATAAAGATTTGAGAAAGAGTGTCAATCTAATATTTCTTCGAACAATTAATTTTTCATAATACGAAACATGAATATTTCACAGAGTTTGAGAAAAAAATGTTAAAAAATCCATGCCAAAGTTTTTTTTAAAGAATGCTATTTGAAAATAAAAATTATTTAGAAAACCTACATTTCTGACAAAAAAATATTAAGGCATTTATTTGAGGAAAAATTTATTTAAAAAATCTACGCCCAATGGCATTTGAAGAAAAATATTTAACAAATGGTATTTAAAAAAATTAACACCTAGATTCTTTTAGGTTCTGGAACGAACTTATTTTGTTTAAAAATGTTTTTTTTAACACCGGGTTATGGCATTGATGTCCTCCTGCGAAAATCCATGAATATGCCTTCGAGCCCTCCAAATGTTCCTTTAAAAATTCATAATTATGTATTTGTTCGATTTTTAAAATATGTTGTTTAAAAATGTGTTTTTTAAGACCGGGTTATGGCTTTGATGTCCTTCTGTGAAAATCCATGAATATGCCTTCGAGACACCCCTCGAAGTGTTCCTTTAAAAATTCATAATTATGTATTCGATTGTTTTTTTTTTTTTGGAAATTTAGGTTAATTAGTCCTTGATTTATTATTCCTTGAAACTTAATGTCTCAAAAAATGTACACTTTTGGCCCTGACAGCAGACTTCCAACATAAATGATCCTTTAAATATATTGTTTTGTTAATTACATCCTTTTTTTCAAAACACAAGTTCCAAGTAAAAAGACAACATTTGCATTTTATTTTTACTTCCACATTTTTATTCTTTTTAATTTATTTACATAGATTTTTTTTTAAAGAATTATTATTTTTTATATAGAATTTTGGAGTATGTTTTTTGTTGTTGTTGCTTTTTTGTATAATTATGTATATATATAATTTTTTTTTAATTTTTTCCTTTAGGGCTATTTTCTTTTTATCATGTTTCTGTTGCGACGAGGTATGTGAATTTTTAATGCTTTATATATTGTTGTTGTTCTTTATGTAACATTGAAGGTTTGTTGTTTGTTTCTAGAGATACTGTAAGGCTGTGGATTTGTTGTTGATATATATATATTTTTTAAATTAAATATTAAAAAAAAACTAAAAGCTAAATAACATTTAAAAAGTAAACTTAAATAATAAATGGCAATATAAAGTCTTTTCGTTGGAGGAAGAAAAAAAGAGGAAGTGGTTATAAAATAATAAAAACTAAAAGCTACTCAAGTATTTTGTTTTTTTCTGAAATACAATTGTTTTTTTAGATTTGTGTTGCACAAATTGTACCGTGGTAAACAAATAATTATAATTTTAAAACATATAAATGCATCATTAAAAAATAAATATGTTTTTAATAATATCATTGAATTGTATTTTTTTTTTTTTCAAATCAGTCCATTTTATTTTTTGTTTTCTGTTATAAACTAAAATATTAATAATAGTAATAAAATCCTTGTATATCAAACAAAATTTGTTTAATCTGTCTGTCTTAACAATAGAATTATTTGCTTGGTTGTTTTTTTTAATAATATATGTAGAATTTGTTATTTTTTATACACATTGTTATGTTTATAAAGTTGTTTTTAACGATTTATTTGCAAAATATATGTTTTTTTGTTAATGGCTGTATATATATATGTATATGATTTTTTTCAATGACTGTTGTTTTATCTGAGACTTAATACTTTTATTCACTTTTACTTTACACGCTAAAATATAAAAACTTAGATATTTTGTTTTTTATGAACATAATTTATGAAGCTGTTTTTTAATATGTGTATATATAACTTATTATGCACTTTACATACCATTATGTATATACATATAATATAAGTTTAGTTTATTTATTTTTTTTTTGCAGAGGAAACCTATTAAAACTGAAGCTATAGAGAAATGAAATATATTAATGCAATGAAATAGTGTCGTCACAACCGAGAGACTAGTTGGCAGAGAACAGAAAACCTCAGAAATGGGAAGCATGTACAAGAGCTGGGAAGAAAGTTTCTGGCAAAATGAGAAAAGCGTAATATGGGTGCTTCACTATTCAGACAGCTTAAATAGTGAATTCGTAAGATCTAATACAAGAATCATGGCTGTAGATGGTCTGAGAAACCTCAAAAACTCATCTGTCCTGAGATTTCACCACTATCTCACTCCTTCCACTAAGGAAAAAATATCATACTCACTGTAGAGATGATAACAGAGTGACTACAGGATTAGATCCCTCACATCCAATTGGGACATCAATTGCCGTGTGGATAATTGCAGTTTACGTGAGAATGAGGGGGAAGAGTGATACGCAGCAAAAGGCATCGACTGTTTTGTAAATATTATTGATATATTCTTTTTTTCAAACGTTCCAATGCCTCACTTTTCCACCCCTGCCGACCGAGGGACGGCCTTCCCTTTCGTAGGGATCGCGTACACACCATAATCCGCTATATGATGGAATATGGGAAGGGATAGAAAACCAGCTACAGAAATATACTTCAACAGCCAATTTGTAAGATGTAAAAAGTTGTTTTGTAATGTAGGGATCAGAGAATTCTTTAGCCCATCGTTTTATAAATCCTATGACACCGTGGACTTTGTTTACCATAGAATTTACATGATTATTAAAATTTAATTTTGGATCGATTAAAATACCAAGATCATCAAGTGAATCTACAGTGGATAAAACAGTGCTATAAATATTGTATTGCCTTATTAAGTAGAAGATCTGGAAAAACACTTATGCTTACATTTGTTTAGGTTTAAATCCATCCAGATTAATTTGCACCATTGAAAAAGGTTATTTAAATCATTATGAAGAAAATCAGCTTGTTTCATAGAGTTATGGGTGATAAACAACTTGACATCGTCTGCATACATTAGCAACTTGGAATGGATTATTGCATTTGGCAAATCATTTATAAATAGAAGAAAGAGGAGTGGGCCTAAATGACTTCCACGGGGAACACCGGAAGGAACATCAATGGATTCGGAGAGACAATCATCGAACAAAACTACCTGTGATCTATTTCGCAAATAAGATGATATCCATTTAACTAAATTTATACTGAACCCATGTTGATTTAATTTATATATTAAAAGTTCATGGTTAACTCTGTCAAAAGCTTTACTGAAGTGAGTATAAATTGTATCGGTTTGATTACGCTGAATAAAACCGTTGAGTAAAATTGTATAAGATTTGGTAATGGTTGAGAGGTCACTACGAAAACCATGTTGATATGGACTTAAGATTGGCTGAACTTTATGAGAAATTACATCAGTAATCAAATTTTCGAATAAATTTGGAAATGGAATTCCTCTATAATTCGAGACACTAGTTAAGCTACCAGATTTGTGTAAAGGAACTATATAGGATTTCTTCCAGAAGGTAGAAAAATGACTATATTTCAGGGAATAATTAAACAACAGCGTTAAAGGGATAGCCAATGTATCTGAACAGAGCTTTAGAATTATGCTAGGAATGCCATCCGGATCTGGACTTTTAATTGATCTAAAATTACGTAGAGTTTTAGAAACATATTGAATTTGTAAAAAATTCATAGATATTTGATCTATCGTCGATAATTTATAACATATAGTTGTGTCTTTATTTGGACAGGGTGAATATGAATATGTTGTTTTCCTCAAATGTCTGATTATTGAATTTCAAAATGGTGGACGTCGACATAGCTTTTCTTTTTATATTAACAAAGTCATAAAAATATTTAGGATTGGATTTGAAATTATGTTAAATCTTTTGTTTAAATAAAGATTGTAAAGTTTTCGGGACTCTGTCGTATATTTAGACCTTGCAACAGCATATTTAGCATAATACATAGAGGTGCCTGATTTTTTAAGTTTTTTTTATAATTTATAATACTTGAAAGCCCAGATGTGACCCATGGATATCTTTCCGAGTTTCTAACTCTAACAGTGGGAACACATACTAGAATAAATTTTTTTAGGATATCATAAAATTAATATACTGATAATTCTAGATCACTGTGACTCTCACTAATAAATAATGAGTTCCAATTTACGGTGGAGATAAGTGCGTTTAGCTTTCGGAAGTCCATTTTATTATAATTAGGAATAGATTTAAATGACATTGAAGAATTTTTGGTAGCTAAATTATTATGCATCATGGATATGCACAGTGTATGATGGTAGTTATCTTCGGGAGTACATATTTTTATAATTATTTCCAAATATTGTGTATAATTCACAAATGCTAGATCTAGAATTCGATCATAACAATTTGATATGCTATTTATTTGATAAAGATTTATGTCGCTAAATCGATTTACAATTTCAAAAGTATATAGGTTTACATTTGCATCAGATGTCAAGGGTGTTAGAGCATCAGAATCTGGCAATGAAAGCCATTTTATGGACGGCAGATTAAAATCGCCGAGAACTACAACTCTGCCAGAGTCATTCATTTGTTAGTGATTGAATTTATTGCTAATACATGCTGATTATATATATCAAGTTGCGATGAGGGAGGAATGTATGAGCAAGTCACAAATAATTTAATATTTTCTATTTCTCCGCAAAAAATGCCATAATAATCTCTTTTCCAGTTACTTATTTTTGGTGCATAGGGCTACCACAAAGCACCGCCATAATACTCGGTTAGCTGCCGTTGTTTTTGCTTCTTTTAAGGTTATTTTCACTTAGTTCATGAGTTATTGTCAGGTGCCAGGTGTTTCTTGGACGACTTCGATTTCTTGATTCTGGGGATTGCATTTAAGCGCTATTCTGGTTATGCTATGGGCGTTTTTTTTATAAGGTGTGGCCAAATCTGTCATGGTTAAGCTATATTATCTAATCCCTTCCTTTATTGCATTGTGATATCTTCTTTAAGGAACATCCTCCCCATTCTCGATATGAAAGTTAGGCAATTTTCAAACGGTGTTAGCAAATGAACGTACATTATATTGAAGGCGTGTAACTTTGTATTTGAAGATTTAAAGAAGAAGGAAATAAATAAAAAAAATGTTGAAAAAATGAAAAAAAGTGTGGCAATCAATTAATTGAAAAAATGAAAAAAGTCCTTGTTTCCGATGGCGGGCAATATTGCCAATCACGGGTATTATATTCGAATCTCAAAATTCCAACACAATTAGAATTAATACATATCTAGCTCTGGTTTGAACTAGAATTATTGACTTCACTCGAGAAATAGCAAAATGACGGACTTAGGAAAATTATTTCATTTTTTATTTCCGATCAAAAAACCAAGACGATTCAATTTATCCCAGTTCAAACGATAGCTATGTAGGACCCGAATAACGTGTTAAAATTTCTAACCCATTGAATTAATAGTTTTTGAGTTATCGTGCCAACCCATCGTAAACACTTTGGTTCGAGAAACACACGTTGAATGTTTGAGTAGCCATCTTCTACCATCTACCAATAAATCAGCCATATCTTCAAGAGTTGTTGAGATTTTCACTAGAAATTTGAAAGAGATATTCTTGAGACGTTATAGGTTCAAAGAAAATAAAAATAAAGAAACTCCTAAATGGACTATACCGATGTATAATCTGATACAATATAGAATAGATCTGACCGATGTATGGGGTTTAGGTTTTTTTTTCTTTTTTTAATAGAAGAAAATTTTAATTGCGTTGAATGTTTATAAAATTTTAAATATCACGCTGTGTGTTTCGAATTTTGACGATATTGATTTTTTTTAAAAATATATAACATTTGCATAAATTCTAAATGATGGTTGGTTAAAATTTTTTTATGCAGACTGACATTGGAAATCCTTTAAGCCGTATTATAAAAAAATCTTTGAACACAAAAACACTAAACAAAATTATGAACTGGAACCCGAGAGAGATCAAAATTTAAAAAAAGTATTAAAAAGAATTGTTAAAATTTTTAAATTTTAAAAATAGAATTTTTCTTATTGTTAAAAATAATAATAATAACATACATTTACATAATTTCTTTTCTCTTATAATAAAATAAAAAAAATACCAAATGCGATTACAAAAATCACATGCAAAATTAAATATAAAATGTCTACGATTCCAAGAAATCAATATTTATATTGATTATGCATGAGATTTTTTATAGTTGCCGGTTTTTTTGTTAATACTAATCATAGTTTGCTGACTTCTTTGACTAAATACATACTTTTACAAAATGTTTATGTTAAGCTGCACAATTTTTGTGTTTTCGTTTTTTTTTCTTCTTATAAAGAATGATAAATTAAAAACTTACAAAAACTAAGAGCTTGTATACATACTAATCTTAAGAATAACAAATATATATATAAAATAGTAATAATAGAGTTTTTTAAAGCAGCATAGCTTAAAAAAGGATTTTACTTTTAAAATAAAAAATATACAAAATGTAGCCAATTTATTATTGTAGATAAATTATTATATTTTTTATATTTGTTTTTGAGGGACTTATGTTTAAATAATATATAAAAATTAAGTATGTGTTTTATATGGCAATTAGGTTTGTTGTTGTTGTACAACATGAACATGATTATAATGAACATTTTTTATAAATGGCCTCGGCAATTAAAAGTTCCATTATATTTGGAAAGTGACGAATTGTATTTGTAGAACGAATGGATATTCAATAAATATTCCAAAAACTTAATTTCCAGACAAAATAGATCTTTGAATACTGAATGAATTGAATTTCTCATCATTTAACTTTCTGAGAGAGATGAGAAATAAGGTCTACCGGTATTGAAGAATTAATAATAATTTTTAATTGTAATCGAACGAATAAATAAATATTTTTATTGGAATCAAAATATTTTAAGTTTGTATCCCGATTTGGTTGGTATTTCGTGATTAAAAAGTTGACAGTAAGAGAAGACTGAGGCATGAATTCGCCTGCCGGTTAACCTTATGAATAAACCTTGGTTCAGAGTATTTTATTATTAAAATCAATACAAATTTGATCTTTATATTTGATTTCAAATTGTCATAGATTTACAAATGATAAACTTCAATTATTATCAAAAAATTTTAAATACATTTTATATTATTGAGTATTAGAATTTCCAAAGGAATTTATTAGAATTTCTTTTTAACAACAGACATTGTTTATTTTACAACAATTTCATTTGTTTCTTTTGTTGTTTTTACAATAACAAAGGAAAATTTAACAATATCGAATGTTGTTAAAAGTTACAGAATAGACCTACAGTAATTAAATACATTTTTAAATCCTGTTCACCATAACCATGTTCAATTTTTTTTTTTTTTTTTGTGATCTCCATCATATTTGTTTTTGAAAACAAAAGAAAAAATATTTGAATACACATAGACATTTGTAAATATTTAGTCATATATATTTCTACACTCGTCTACTATATGAGGAAGATGATCACTATCTATTATTTATAATTCTATAATACTTTTGCTTTCTTACAAACTTATTTTGTATTGAAAAAATAAATGTTTAGCCTTGAAAGAAGTTTTGTTTTTGTTTTGCTTCAAACTCTCCAACCCAATTTGATGCTGGCTCAAAAAAGGAGAGAGCTGAAAAGCATATGTGCTGCCTCATAATAGGTTCAGAATGATTACAGGAAGAAATATATTTGATATAGAAACGGCCATAGAAACAGAAAGAAGATTTGAATCGGGATTTTTAATGGACAGTTTAGAGATCGAAAGTCTACACGTACCTATTTGTAGTAAAAATAATGTATTTTAAATTTCAACAAGTACTCGAGAGAAAGCAATAAAAATCAGGAAAAAATGAAATAACAATAATTTGTATTTAGGGGACCACATGCATCCTCGGTTTCAAATTTCAACGATTTTCAAACTGCTGGCAAAATAAGCATACATAGAAAAAAATGGTCCGTTAGGCCATCAATTTTTATAGGATTTTTTTAGATATTTTTTTCTATAGAAAAAATGGTGCTGAAATCATGTCTCTATTTTGAACACCATTTTTTCATATTCTTTTGTTTTCTATATAACCGTTCTATAATTTCTTCTTAAAGAAAAATTATTTCAAAACTGTAGTGATTGCTTTCAGATGTTTTGCCTATAATTTATAAGATGATGTATATATGTATGTATGCATTATTGTTGTTATTTTTGCTTTTGTTATTTTTTAGAGTATTGTTTTTTGTTTTAGTTTTAGAAACTCACAACTTTTTTTCTCGGTTTTCTTTCGGAATTTATAATTGTAAACGAACGAACAACTGTTACAGCTGTTTGCTTGGCTTTACATGAGTTTTTGTTTTGTTTTGTTTTTTTTTTTTTTCTTCTTTATCTCCATTATTCCTTTCAAACCAAACGTGGTGCCTCGCTTTTCATTTTATAGCCCATCAAATGGTAGGCGGCTTCTTCGGAAAATTGTGCTGAATTTGGACTTTCACTTGCTCGTTGTTGTTTCATTTGGGCCGCCAGCGCCTGTGACATTTGTGCTGCCGACATTGCCAGGGCAGCCGGATTATTGGCTATGACACCACCAATGCCACTGCCCAATAGATTACCACCAGCTGCCGCAGCAGCAGCTAAACTCATCATATTTGCAGCAGCAGCACCAGCTCCAGTACCGGTACTACCACTTCCAGCACTTGATGCACCGCGACCACGTTTACGCTTTGGCAGTATACCCTTACGTGCCATATAGAAACGTATTGTCGATACGGGTATATTAAACATATTGCTAACCGTTTGAAATGTCTGGCCTTTCGAAACACATTTGGCTGCCTGTTCCAGGGATTCTTCGGATCTGCGTATGCGTCGCAATGAACTATTCTGATCCATTGAATTGTGCATCATGGAATTGTTCGCCGTGGAATCGTGTTCGCTATCAGCAACGGCGCCACCACCAAAACTATCATCTTCATCGTGTGCCACATAGTTGTGGTCCTCCTCAATGGTTGAGTCCATGTGATGTGATGTTGACATATTTTGTGACATTGCCTCGGATGGTGTTGACGAGGTGGTGGTTGTTTGCTGTTGTTGTTGTTGCATTATATTTTGTTGTAGTACATTACTGGCGGCTATATTATTGGCATTTTGACTGTTCTCGTATTGTTCATAGGCATTCGAGGTGGATTCATCACCTGAATCCTGTTGCTGCTGCTGATGTTGTGCTGTGAAATTTGAAACAGCTGCGGGATTAGCCATTAACGAATTTAGTGAGACTGGTGTTAGAACAGGTCGTGTTGTGTTGGTTGGTGGCCCTGACATAGGCTCCTTCTTAATAACTACATTTTGCGGGTGCGATTGTATTGTACTGGTAGCTGTGGCCGTGGTGGTTGTTGTTGAATTTGTTGCCGTATCCTCATCATTGCTATCGGCCCCTTGTAGGCTTCCACCTCCACCCAATGCCGTCAATTGTTGTGACGACACATTCGTGTTGTGATTATTACTTGTAGCCTGCTGTTGTTGTTGCTGTGATTTACCCGTTAAAGCTTTTAATTGATTTAAATTTAATGCCGCATCGGAACCATACAGACCACGTATGCGCAACTGTTCGGCACAACGTAACAATTGTGGTAGGCCGGCCTGTGTCACATTCACCTCACCTTTATACATAAAGTCGACCAAAGCTTGTATCTCCCATAGCTTTATTTCTGATGGTAAAATAATGACGGGATGTTTACAGGGATTTTCGGCCAATATACTTTCGAAATATGACGAACATGCCGCCAAGACCAAACGATGACAGTGTACCTGATGTCCCTCGCAGGCCAGTGTAACATCGACAAAACGCTGACCAGCTAATAGCTGGGGAAATGCAGCTCCTATACTACCCAAATGACTGTTCCAGCGTACACAAAATTCTTGTCGATGCGATGGTGACATTTTGTCGCTTTTTGTCATATAGCAATAGCAGCAATTGTGATAAATTTATTGAGAGATATATGTTTTTAATGTGGCGAGTGTGGCAAGATGATGATAATAGTTGGTGAATATTTGCACAACTTTGATGTGTAGTTGTTGTTGTTTTTTTTTTCTTTAATTAGATACTATCCAGACTAGATAAGGAAGATTTTCTTCGCCATAGACGACTGTTTTGTATTTGCTGGCTGCTCTGTAATGCGGGAAGATTTCGTGATTTTCAAATCGTTGTTAAATATTTTACAGAGTTATAGTTTTTTCTGAAAAGAGAAGAAAAAAAATAAGTGAAAAATTTTATAAATAAGTTTGATTAATAAAAAAGGCAATGATACGATCTAGCCAGCATGTTTCCTTCGTTCAACGGATTTTCTAAAGTTCTTGAAAGGAATCCCAAACTTGTTCCCAACATAAGACACCTAATGGCTCCTACGGCTTGTCTGCCGGTGAAGAATTAAGAATTCCTCACATTGTATTTTCCCGATTCCAAATTCTCTCTTTTCAGTATAGGCAGTAAAGCTGTATGATACCCTACTTTCAGTTGCCTGTATTTCAGACTCAAAAAGTAACTTGCATATTTTGTGGTTATTTTGAATTTTCTTCTCAATTCTTCCAAAAACTTGCTTGCTTCAATCCATATAGACTCTTTTAAAGCTTACAAACAACTCTTCCTGTGGCGTCATCAAAGCCATCTGGTTGGTTCATAAAAATAATTTCTTCCAGACAGTGGATAACTAATATTGCTTTGAATTTGTCTGTACTTCCATCAGGGTTAGTTTTTATCTTATAAACACACTTTAATGGGAGTACCTCATTTCCCCTGGGAAGTTATTTTAAATCCATGTTGTTTTCTCTGAAGGAATTCATTTCTGAGTTGATTGCCTTTATTTAAAGATATTTTTCCGTAATTTCGATAGCATCAATACAACTTGTAGGCGTTTGAACTTGACACATAAAATCTTGAGCAGCCATAACAGTCATCATACTTTGAGTTATGTTGCGCTGATCGATCTCTTAAAAGGTTTCTAATTGTAATTTCAGTTGTATTTTCTATCGAATCAAATCCACAAAAATCGCTCTCATTGCATACATTTCCTTCCGAACATTCTTTAAATATGTCATCATACCAATTTGATTCACAACGAATATCTTGAACATTTCTTCGTGTACTTGGCTGAATATATTTTTGTAACACTTCTTCTTTAGATCTTTTGATATCTTTTAAATGGCAATTTTATTTCTTCAACTCTAAATAAGGTATGCATGAAGTCTTCAAATGACTCTTTATTCATATCTTGATTTTGATCATCACAACTTGTAAGTTCTTCACTAAATATCACATCTCTTGAAAAAAATTACACTGTGATTTTCTTGGATATAAATTCTATAACGCACTTCAGTATAATATCCAATTAAATATCCCTCGATTAACTTTAAATCGATTTTTTTCCTTTTTTGACTTGGAACGTGGACATAGCCACTTACTTTCAATTATTCTCAAATAAGTAATTCTTGGTTTTCTTCCAAACAAATGTTCATGGGGACTTTTTGCCATCAACTGGTGTCCTGCGAACTTTGTCCAAATAGCTTCAGGAAATCGAACATTCTTATCTGATTACCTAAAAGTATCTTGATTTTGATCATCACATCTTGTAAGTTCTTCACTAAATATCACATCTCTTGACAAAATTACACTGTGATTTCCGTTGATATAAATTCTATAACGCTCTTCGGTATCATATCCAATTAAATATCCCTTGATTACCTTTAAATTCTAACTTGGAACATGGACATAACCACTCACTTCCAATTATTCTCAAATGAGTAATTCTTGAGTTTCTTCCAAATCAATTTTCATGTGGACTTTTGCCTTCAACTAGTGTCTTGCGAATATGATTCAGAACTCTGACCAAATAGCTTCAGGAAATCGATTATTCTTAATTGATGACTTAAAAGTACGGGTCACATCAATGACAGTTCTATTTTCCCTCTCACTTGCATCATTCTGTTGCGGAGTGTAGGGAGCAGTTAGACTCTGTGTAAGTCCAAATTAGAATTTGCCCTACTTCATAATAATCGAATTCGGCACCATTATCGCTAAAAAAAAAAATATTGAATTTCCTATCAAAATTTTTGTCAGTTACTTTTTAGGCCAATAATAAGCACTTGTACAAAGTTTCGTTCAACTACATCCAACCCCAGTTCGATTTTTGACCGCTGTTAATATGCATTCGCGACATAGTGCGCATGGATTTAATGTCCTTTTAATATAGAATAATATGTCCATTCTTGGATAATATAATTTTTTCAATCAACACTTCCCCACTTAAAATAGATATCAATATTTCATAGATGCATTTTCAAAAGTAAGGGGGTATCCATCGGAACTTCGATGGAATATATTGTCAGAAAATATGGATTTCCGCAAGAAAAAAATATATAGTTGTAGAAAAAAATACTTATGGTAAACATTAAAAAAAAAACAAAATCTTCAATTCAGCTGACCTGAATAAGTATTCTTAAGGGAAATCTTTAATTTAGAGCAGCTAAATTAATTTTTCAATCGAAAAGCCAGGCTGAATTGAAGATTTTCTATAGAAAACCTAATTCAGCCAGGCTGAATTGAAGATTTTCAATAAAGAAACCTAATTCAGCCAGACTGAATTGAAGATTTTCAATAGAAAACCTAATTCAGCCAGGCTGAATTGAAGATTGAGTCATAGTAATTACAATTAAAAATTATTCAAATCTGAAGTGTAAATCAATTCCCAATTTTACATATGATTCCTTCAATCTTCCAAATTTCTCAAAACAACAAAGCCTGAGCTTTTGAATTAAATTCAATACACATGCGAATAAATTCCATTCTGAAAAAATTAATAAAAAAAAACAACAAAAAGAAAGGATATACACAATTATTTCATACCGGTTTTGGTTTTTTGTTCAAGAAGACGTTTCCTTTCAATGGTACTATTTGTCAGAAACTTCTTTTAGCCAAGCCAAGAAGTTTCAGTGACCTTGCAGCAGTATAATCGGTGCAATTAACGCAAAACTGATTTTCCTTCTTCTCCTGCTGCTGCTAAACTTCACCAAAAATCTATAAATAATATTTGGTACTACTCCTCTTTCTCTCTTTTCAAACTCCTTGTTCTTCTTCTTCGACGGGAGATAAATAAAATGTTGTTACTCCGCGTCCGTCTTATATTTTAAACAAATGACGCCAGGAAGACACAAAGACAACTACTAAAAGATAATTTTAAAAAATTTACAGATGTACCACAATACACCACAGAGGCCAACAATAACAACAACAACATCAGCAGCAGCAACAAACAAAACAAAAAAACATAACAAAAAGACAAGAACAACAACAACAAAATACACACAACTCACGGACGGAGGAACAGGCAAGCAGCAGGCCAATAACATTGCACTGCAAAAATAGCTTAAAGAACAACATTTTGAACACTGTACTTAATATAAATTTATAATAAAAAACAATAGCAGCAACAACAACAACAGCAGCATTGAACAGCACAAGGAGGAGAAGCGCAGGAATATACAAAACAAAAAAACAACACAACTCACACTCTCACATTTAATCCACACAAAAACCCTCACGCACACATACTCACAGCGTTAAATAAACTAAAAACATTATAACAAAATCACGAAAAAAAATACAAGAATCCTCCTCAGGAAAACAACAAAAATACATTAAGAATAATAGTAGCGCTCAATAAACATTGCAGGAAACAACGACGGCGGCAGCAGCAGCAGCCCTCGTTGTCGTCGCTGTTGCAGAGCCGAGCAATAATAAAGCACATTGGCACAAAAAGAGAGCAAATGCCGCATAATGCCATTGTGCCAGGAAATGAGAATATGGGGAGTGAGAGAATACAGAAATAAACAGCATGAGATACAACACAGTGATGCCAATGTTCCGTAAGCAAAAAAAAAACGCGCATTTTATTATCAAAGAAATGACCACAAACAAATTTGATCAGTTAAGTTCGATTTTTTTCGGATTTAATATTATATATTGTGTGTTAAGAGTATATTAATATAAGAGAATATATCTTGCTTTTGAAAAGGAAATGAAAGATTTGTTATCGGTCTTAGGTCAGGTCACTTGTTTACATTTATATACCTCTTAACAAGTACGCGGATGCAAAAAATTCAGGGATCTATAAAAAATGACAGACAATTTATTTATTTTTACATTAGCTGTACCAAATATTTTATGTCCAAAATTTCATCCCATGGAGTTATCGTGGGCCACTGTTAATATGAACACGCGATAGCAACGTAGCCGCTGAACGGTAAAGAATACCTCACAACTCCATTTTTGTTTTTCCAAATTCCAATTGGAAATAAGTAATTAGGAAATAAGTAATGAATTAGACCAAGGAATTTTGCAAAAACCTTTTTAAGAGGCTGTAAAAATCTAATTTAAACAATAATATGAATATGAACTTTTTACGAACTTCTTCGGAGAGAACTACCAAAAAACACAAATTTTAAGAGACTGTAGAAGTCTAAGTTAAAAATAAATTGTAACATATGTCGGTTTTATTAAATATATGATTACCGTAGCGACTACTCAATAGAGTTTTAATTAAAATCGGGCTGTCGCTAAACATTAGACTACCGAAATGTAGAAAGCAGCTTAAAAATTTAGTGTATTGAATAAAAGAGAAACTCGGACAAGGAATGACTTGTTCATGTGAAGATCTAAACGGAATATAATTAAAAAAAGCGGTAGCTCTGAATATTCTACGTTCTAAAAAAGCGGTCAAAAGTAGAGGACATAGTGATTTATATACTTTATAAAAGAATAATAGACATAATAGACATCGACAAATCTCTTAAAGGGACAGGCAATAAAACGTTCTACAAAGGGAGAAATATGGGAAAAGATCCCGGACAATGCAATACATTCCCTACTAATAAATAGTTGTTTTTTTTATAAAAAAAAAATA